GCGCCCGCTCGCACGCTGCCTCTCTCCCTGCGGAAAGGAGCCGCCAGGCCCCGTCCCAGCACAGACTCCTCACCAAGGCTCCGCGCCTCCCATGAGGAGCCGCCGGCGGCCCAAGCACAAGCCGCCTCCTCCCCGTCCTTCCCGGTCCTGGTGGCTCCAGGGCCGGGCACCCTGCTCACCCCCCACTGCTGACCGCCCACCCGCGGGTGGAAACCCAGCTCAGCGGCCCAGTGCCGTGGCGCCCACCTGTCCTCCCAGCACGTTGGGAGGCCGAGGCGAGAGGACTGGCTGAGTCCAAGGGCTCAAGACCCCGGGCCGCTCGGCGAGACCTCGTCTCTGCAGTTCATCCAAAAGCTAGCCGGGTGGGGTGGCGCGCGCCTGTGGTTCCCGCTACCCGGAAGGCTGTGGGCACTCCAGCCTGGGCGACAGAGGGACGCTCTGACTCAAAGACATAAATAAGAGGGAAAGTAAAGTGCTTTCTTTTCACTAAGGAGACCCAGACGGCTCTAGTTCTGCTCAAAGGCCAGTGCCTGGCCACACTGCCCTCGTTCTAGTTGGGGGTCCGGGCGTGGGTGGCCTTGCCAGCCTCGGACTAGAGTCCTTGTGGGGAGATGGCAACCACAGTGCCTTCCTTTCTCTGGCCCCTGTAAGTTTGGGCCCAGCGTCTTCACCCCCCAACCGCAGGGCATTTCTGAGGGCTCGGGCAATTCTGCCCCATCCGCCTGACCTCACTCCAGCTTCCCCAGGGGGATGTGTGACTCCTGTTTTGGGAGACCAGCTGCCTGATGGAGACATCCCATCTCATTTCAGAGACCCCACACTTTAGCAAAGTCCCTTCTTATGCGGGAGCTGGAAAATGCCCTCTCTAACTCACCCCCATTTTCTTGACACTATAGGACCCTGGGCTCTAGGTCCAATTTGACCCACATGAGGCGAAACAGCGTTTTCACCTCCCTTGTTCTAAAACCTATACCTCTACTAACATGACCCACAATCCTTCTCCATACTGGTAAACATTGGTCTTCTGGGGTTAGAGGCACCCTGAGTCTGGGAGCAACTTCGACCCCAACGGTGTGGCCTCTCTCTCCTCTTCCCCCCTCCCTCCCCTCCCCTCCTCTCTCTTCCAGACGACGACCCGGACAGTGCCGTGGACGACCGTGACAGCGACTACCGCAGCGAAACCAGCAACAGCATCCCACCGCCCTATTACACGACGTCGCAGCCCAATGCCTCGGTCCACCAGTATTCTGTCCGCCCACCTCCCCTGGGCTCCCGAGAATCTTACAGTGACTCCATGCACAGCTATGAGGAGTTCTCCGAGCCGCGGGCCCTCAGGTAGTGGCTGCAGAGTGGGGTGGGGTGGGGCGAGGGTCCCATGCTGTCTCCGGGCGTGGAGAGTGGGTGGGGGCCGGAGGGAGCTGGACGTGGAGGGGGTGCCTCTGGGGAGCAGACCCCACGTTTCTTAGGGTAGTAGAGCCCTTCTGTTACCCAAAAGCTTTCAAGAAGATCCGGTGAGCTTGAAAGAGGGAATGTAAGGCCAGGCCTGGTGGCTCAAGCCTGTCATCCCAGCACTGTGGGCGGCCAGGGTGGGGGGATCACTTCAGACCGGGAGTTTGAGACCAGCCTGGGCAACGTGGCGAGACCTCATCTCTCCACAAGAAGCAAAGAGTGAGCTGGGCGTGCCGGTGCCGGTAGCCCCGACCATGCGAGAGGCTGAGGTGGGAGGATCGCCTGAGCCCCAGAGGTCAAGGCCGCAGGGAGCCAGGATCGCGTTACTGCACCGTCCTGCCCGGCAACAGAGTGAAACCTGAGTCAAAACAAAAGAAAGAAAAGATCGAGTTTGAAGAAAATGTTCATAAGCTTCCTGCTCAGTCTTTAGCATCAAAACTTTTCCTGCAGTTATTGTACAATTTTGTTTGTTTTGTTTGTTTTTTTGAGTTGGAGTCTCACTCTGTCGCCCAGGCTGGAGTGCAGTGGCCGCTCCCGGCCACCGCAACCTCCAC